TTGTAAGTTCATACGCTACTATAAGAAAAAATTCGTAATGAAAATAATGTGTTATTTCTGTTCCGAAAAAAAGACATTTAATATGCATGAAAAAGAATCAAACACTGGCTGTTGGTACAGACGGGAATATCTAGCTCTTGGGAAACTGCTTAGGGGAAACTCGGCAGAGCCTCGTTATTGCTGTAAACAGTTATCTTCGAGCTAGATATTCCGGCCTGTACCAGCAGCCAGTGTAAGATTCTTATAAAGCCTCTCTGGTGTGTGCGCAGGTGAGATAATAACATATATTTGACTTTATTTGGAAATTATTAAAACTATTTGACAGAAAATTATTAAGAACATAATGTCATGATAATTATTAAAAAGGGAGAGACACATCACATAACTGGGGCTATTCGAATCAGGGTCAGCTTGGCCCCAAAACTTACTCAGCACCAGAGTCATCTAGGCCCAAAACAAACTCGGCATGAGTCAACTTGGGTCATATTTTTATACTTGTAATAAAAAGATGCATTTTTTTTCTCTATTTTTATTAATAATTTAGAAAACATTAATAACAACACAGCAATACATTTGGATTGGATTTACATTTTTTCAGAACGCAATGTAATAAGTATATGAAAATTTTACGATTTGTATGTTCCCAAGTTTTGTTTGTCTCATGAATTACATTTTTGTACAAACCATTTTTAAACTTGCATTCAATTTGCATGTTTAACAGAACAGATAGTTCTATATAAATTAGCTGTCACAAAATGACAATTACGGAGGACAAGGCTGATACTGTTCCTTTTTTATAGTGGGTCAGGTTAACCTGTGCCAAGTTGGTTCAGGGGTGAGTAGAACCTTTACCAAGCAATTAATTAAGTTATAGTACTGATAAAACTAAGTTCATAACCCAATTGTGAAATTGACAATTTGTGTTGTGTAAAAAAATGGAATTTTATTTTTTATAATTTATATACCATATTTAAACCTAGGCTACATTTTAGTTTAGACATTTTAACCTTAACATTTTAAAGCATATTACATATGATAATGTTTCAGAGTGGGAATCGTCCTTATTCTGGGTGAATAATCACTAAACTGGCGATATAGCCCAATACGGATCGAGTCATATCCACCAAAAATGATGCGTTATATTTACTTTTTTTTATTTTCATTTTTTTCTTGCTATGATAATTTAAAGTTCACTCTGTCCCTTCTTGTGATTTTCATCCAATACTCATCAGGAGATTTTCAAATTTTTGCTTCACTAATCTGTATATTTTGACATTATGCACAATATCTATTAACAGTGATTTTTCTGCTTATATAAAAGACTTCGATATCGCTAAAAATAGCATTTTCATTGATTAAAATCATCTTCATCCGCGTATATTACAAACCCGAAATGCAATGGAAATTCTGCAAACTAGTCAAATCGGCCCCAAATTAGATCGGCCCCAAGTCAGATCGGCCCCAAAATTAGTCAATTCGACCTCAAAATTAGTCAAATCGGCCACACAATTTTAAAAAGTCAAATTGGCCCCAAAACTAGTCAATTCGGTCCCAAAACTAGTCATATCGTCCTCAGAACTAGTCAAAACGGCCCTAAAGTTATTTTTATGAAAAATCCTATTTTGGTTAAAATAATGTTATTCGACAAAAATTACAAGGTTATTAACTGAGAATTGCACTTTAACATAAATGTACCAATTAAAAATAATTCATTACAAAATTGAGACAATTGAGAGAAATTAAAGAATATGTTCTGTTCTGTTATGATAATTTTGTCCGAAAAATACTTATTTATAGAGATATCCATCCGATTAAAGAGTGAGACGTTTAATCAGGTAGCATGTTGTTCACACTTGATTGCTTTATACTGTATATATATATTATCAATCTAAATCTAATTTTTTTAAATTAAAAACTATAAAAGAACTGATTAAAAAAAATCTAAATTAAAAGAAATTATATCAACAGCAACTTAAGACGTCCGCGTTTTAGACTGTGCCGTCTTTAAAGCTGAATGAGTAATACTACTTACCTTGATTCAATCTCTGTGTATAAAATCATAATCAACAAAATTGAAAAAAGTCTTAGTATAATTATAAAAAACATATATATTAGACTCTTGATAAAAATGATTTCAAATGAATATTTATGCCATGCTTTTAATTTAATATTCTGCTTTTAATGCTGTTCGACTTTGTATCTATGCATAAACTTTTTTTATTGTGGAATTATGGAATGTTGTTTTTTCTTGTACAAGACTTAATAAATGACTTTAAAAATAAATGAACAAAATTTTAATTATAATTTAGGGGTTTGGTTTAATTTATTACATATTTTAGGCATATCACAGACGCAATACAGGGATGCCATACGTGGAAACACGGAGCTGTTTTATCACATGTTGTGGATGTCAGCAATAGCGCGAGCATGATACTTCTACCTAAGAAGAGTCCATGGAAACGGAGATGCCAGCTTCAGTTGAGTCCATGGAAACAACAGAAAACGACGATAGCATAGTGTCGGTTGAGTGTGAAAGGTCATACCAGGAACCAAACGTCGTGCATAACAGGTAAAACAAATGAAAAAATTGACCCTTACACTTTTTGTGTAGTTTATTAACGATTTACATATTTTTATTTATTTTGTATGATACTACAAACGTAGATAAAGAATAAGGGGACCTTAAATACATAATGATGATACTGAAGAACTGAAAATGTTCTATTAATGTATATTCTTTATGATGCTTCAAACCTTTTCTTTTATAAAAAAAAAATCGATGTCAAGTTGAATTTCATTAGTAATATATTTAAACAGAGGCTAGTATAATGATCACAGATTGATAATTGATCATGAAAAATGTGTGTGATACAATATAAATATAATTAATGTTAATTTCTAATTTGTATAAATCATTCAAATGAATATACATTTATATTATAATTGTTGACTCTTTAATACTTTTATTTAATTTTTCTGCTTGCAGCTATCATGCGAAACAACTGTCGGCAACGGCACTGCTGAAGAAGGTTTCAAGTCTTTACCAACCCAGGGTGCTTAGACAAGAAGCAGAGTAATGTGCGATAAGTGATAAGAAGTGACAATTACATGAGAAGTGACAATTACATGTTTACTGTTCCATATGTTTATAGACAATAAATTAGATTGATTATTATATGTTTAGTTCTTGTTTTCTAAGTAATCCATGGCGAGTATTGTTCAGTGATAAGAAGTGACAATTACATGTATACTGTTTCATATGTTTATAGTACATTGAAGATAAATGTTAAACGTTATACTCAGACAATAAATAAAATTGATTATTATATGTTTTGTTCTTCTTTTCTATGTAATCCATTGTTTATCATTTGGTATTCCCATCCACACAATTGATTTTTATCAACATTTAAAAAATAAGAAAATGAATAATGAATTAAGAAAATAAAGACATGGGGCCGATCTGACTTGAGGCCGATTTCACTTGGGGCCGATTTGCGCTTGTTTAATGTGTGAGAGGTCCGGGGTTCCAAGCCCAGTCGGGGCAACTATTTTTTTAAATTTATTTAGGTGTTTTTGTTAAGGAAAATGCAACGATGTGCAAAGATAAAGTGTGGCTGTCAGAAAAAAATTGAACATAAATGATTTGTTGATGCAACTCTAGTCATGCAAAATTCCGTATGTATCAAACTCTGGTGCCCTGCAAGATGAATTATAGTACATAAAAATAAACTTATACAGGAAAATACATACAGATACAGTACGATTTAGATTGCAAAGATCAGAAAATACAACAGAGCTTTCACACGGTGCATATCCATATCGGTACCCTCTTTGCGAAATCTGCTCAAACGGTACCCTCTCTGAACATGCACAGGTCATTCTCTGCTAAAAACAAACCAGCGATGGATAACACTACAGTAAAATTTCATTGAAATAAAGAAAAGGAGGTATGACACGTAGAAAAGATGTATACCACGGAACACTAGAATGTTTTATTTATGTGCTGATTTGTCATGTGCCCGATTTTCATGTACTGCAACTTCACAATAAGCTACAAAAAATCGACATGTCTTGCTTCGCCCATCAACTCGACATATTTTTCGGGCTGAAATGAACCTGTGGCTTGATTATATATGCATCATACATATTTAATATGTTCATGAACATTTCATCTTCGGACAAATGGCAGTATATTGTCAAAAATAAATGTAAAATTCATAAAAACACCCTACTTTCGGTTTTGCAGCGGGACGGGCTACCTCTCTTCATTTGAATTTTTATATCACAGGTACCCTCTCATTATTGAACACATAGGTACCCTCAAAGCACGACATATGCTTTTATTTGCGTTAATCGTTAAGTGTGTATGTAATACATTGTACTTTTTACTTTTATGTAAATATTACATACTTAACGATTAACGCAAAGAAAAGCATAAGTCGTGCTTTGAGGGTACCTAGCTATGTGTTAAAAATGAGAGGGTACCTGTGATATAAAAAATCAAATGAAGAGAGGTAGCCCGTTCCGCTGCAAAACCGAAAGTAGGGTGTTTTTATGAATTTTACATTTATTTTTGACAATATACTGCCATTTGTCCGAAGATGATATGTTCATGAACATATTAAATATGTATGATGCATATATAATCAAGCCACAGGTTCATTTCAGCCCGAAAAATATGTCGAGTTGATGGGCGAAGCAAGACATGTCGATTTTTTGTAGCTTATTGTGAAGTTGCAGTACATGAAAATCGGGCACATGACAAATCAGCACATAAATAAAACATCATAGTGTTCCGGGGTATACATCTTTTCTACGTGTCATACCTCCTTTCCTTATTTCAATGAAATTTTACTGTAGTGTTATCCATCGCTGGTTTGTTTTTAGCAGAGAATGACCTGTGCATGTTCAGAGAGGGTACCGTTTGAGCAGATTTCGCAAAGAGGGTACCGATATGGATATGCACCGTGTTTCAGCCCTTTGATTTTTTAATGTCATACCTTGTTCAAAGAAAGAACGTAACACTTTATCCATTGCAACATATAGGTCACATATGAAAAATGCTTCACCAGAGCATTCTTTAGAGCATTCATCTGATTTCCATGGTAAAGTTGTCATGTACTGACATAATTTTGTCACATAATCTTGTTTGTCTTTTCCGGAAAATAAGCTTTTGGTTATATTGGATGTTGGTAGTACAACTGGCCCTTGAGATGAAGCAGACTTCGGTGTCAGATAACACATTGATTCCTTTTCTAGTTCAAAGCACATTTGTTTCAAAACATCGTTACTCCAATCTGCAGAACAAGCCCGAAACTGTAAAGCGTACACTTCATCCTTCGCTAAAAACATAGGCGGGAAATTACAAGTGCTTTCAGCGATAAGGGTCTTAAGTTTTATATCGTTTTCATTGAAAGGTAAAGAATCAACACTTGTAACATAATAAAACAAGAACAACAAACTATATTTATCCATGTTTGACGTGTTCGATCAGCAACTGTTGACTAACTACCGGTGATAGTGGAAACCAGAGCGTGTAAGTTTCATTGGTATTGGGTATAAGAATACTAAATCAGGGATGTACTATTCTCCGGTCCGGTCGCTTCCGGTCTCCGGTCTCTACTGGAATTTTCGAGAGACCGGCGAATAGTATCATATTTACTGGCCCGGTCAGTGCCGGTCTTCTAAAAATTATCGATCTTTCTAGATGAAAAATGTGTTGATATAAGATTTTTTTCGTAAATAATGTATTTCGTTTCAAATTAACTGTTTTTTAATTATGTATTTTTGTTGTGTTAGTTATTGTATGATTTAATCAAAGATATAAATGTAAAAGTGTATTAATTACGGGGAATGACATAAATTATTTTATGTGAGCATAAAAAGTTATAAATGAAACTAAAATTGTGTAGAATTTGAAATGTGTATGATTTTGATGCTCTTGTTTGTTTTTTGTTGTTGTTGATGTATTACATAAAGATTTCCTTAAATGAATAATACATTATCATTATCACGTCACATTGCGACTTGTATACATTTTGAAAATGATAAAGTAATGTATTATGTTATATTATATGTTTATATTTTATGTATGTCATTATTTATAATTGCTTTTTGTGCATAATTTTGATGTATATAAATTCTGTGTTGTTGTGTATTTGTCAATGAAATTGTAGTGAATTTTTAAATGATTGACGATATATTTCATGCCGATTTTGCCAAAAAAATATGCAAGAGTCATATTTTTTTTTATTATAACATTTAATTTATAATCATAATTGTTACTTTTTCATGTTCATCAATGAAATATCGTGATTATCAATGGCAACAGGCATATACAATCATTTATAATCTACTTGTGTAACGTATGATCAACACCACACTTGTTTATTGTCCCTTATTATGCTCTGATATTTTGCATGCGTGAAAAATGGTAGCAAATTTTGAAAAACTCTTGGTAAAATTGAGAAAAAAATGGATTAAATCTATAAACCAGGCGGATTATTGATAAAATAGTGTATACATGGAAGTATTGTAAGTGTATTTAAATTTTCAAATGCCCAGAAAAAGTAAAAAGACGAAAGAATCACCGGGTAACGTGCAATCTGTGGCAAAACGTTCAAACACAATGGAACAAATTGGCGGAGGAATTCAAATGGGTACACCAAATATGACCGGTAGTCAATACCAGGCAAGTCATAACTTTTGTTTACCACCCCAACTACCATATCAGAGCTGTAATAATCAATATATGGTAATGAATTCAGTGTCACCATTATTCTCACCAGAAACTTCACCTCGAAACGTGAATACACAAAGTGATATGATGTCAATTATTATACAAAGATTAGATTCGATGGACAAGAAACTCAGCCATTTAGAAACTATTCAGTCTAGTGTGAACACGTTAACGGTAAAGTCAGACACTATGAGCAAGCAGATAAATGAAATAGAATCCAAAATCCAGGACATTGAATATTACCGAGCCTTTGACAGCAGTTTATTAGACAGTATAAACAAAAGGCAGGATGAGCTCGAAAAAATGATACAGTCTATGTAAAAGAGTGAACAAAAAATCTCAGAAGATGACTTGAAAGCTAAAATTATAGACTTAAAATGTAGAAATTTGAGAAATAATTTGATATTCTATAACCTTTGTGAAGTGAAAGATGAAAACAGTGAGGACAAGATATTATCCTTCCTAGAAGATAAGCTGAAAATCAATGATGCAAAATCTAACATTCAACCTCATAGAGCTCATAGAATAGGGAATTAAAGCCACCAGAAAATAATACCAATAGTCGCAAAGTTTGCGTATTTTCCAGACAGGGAGAAGGTCAGAAAATCATCAAAACAATTAAACGGCACACCGCTCGGGATCAGCGAACAATTTCCTTGTGAAATCATAGAGACTAGAAAACAGTTGATCCCAATCATGAAAAAAGCACGGGAAAACGGAGAGGAGGCATTTTTGAAGGTTGGCAAGCCGTACATCAATAAGAAATTATGCAACGGTAACAGTACGAAAAAGGTTACACGTGAGAGTGTTCTGATCTGATCTAGTGGGGGACTAATAGTTTATATAAAGGATAATTGCCGTAAGGGGGTTAAAGTTGTTCAAAATGACATTGATTGCTTAATTTGGCTAAAACTGGATAAAACATTTTTTCAAATAGAAAAAGACATATATCTTGCAGTAACCTCTATAGCGCTAGAAAATTCTCCTATTCACAATACGTATGACGTTAATATTTTTAGAAAAATTTAAAATGATATAAATAGATATAACACATTAGGAAAAGTATTTGTTTCGGGCGATCTTAACTCTGGGGTTTGTAAAAAACATGATTATATTGATAACGATCGAATAATAGGAAACGACGATACATTTGATATTGACTCAGCACTCCCTCGCGCAACGTGTGACGTAACAGCGAATAGATTTGGAGAATTGTTAATTGATTTATGTAAATCAACCAACATACGTATTGTTAACGGAAGACTACATAGTCTTAACGGTATCGGTAACAGGACATGTATGACACACAACGGTGAAAGTCTAGTCGACTATGTATTGACGGAGGAGGGTAATTTTAAGGACATTGTCAGTTTTAATGTTACAGATTTCAATACCTTTTCAAATCATACGCCAATTTCGTTCTCTTTCGGTATAAATACTGAGCTATCATGTACATCTTCCAAAAAACATATGTATTACAAGTGGAATAATGAATATAGAGATGCTTTTGTAAATGACGTTAGACACGGCATTAGTGATTTAGAAAACAGTTTATTTAATGATGTTTCTAATGGAGAAGTACCCGATATACTACTAAATAAATTCACAGATTTTCTACATTTAAATGGGAAAAAATACTTTGAACGCTGCACAAAAAGTAAAGCTGTTTATTTTACCAGTATAGACGAAAACAGACAAAAGTAGTATAACGAAGTGTGCAAAGAAAAACATGAATTGTTTAAAAAGGCAATGTATGAATATAATATCAACCCAAATGATGAGAAAAGAATGAACGTTTATATCAAGAAAAAGGACTAAAAGTATTATTGTCGTAAATGAAAAATAAGTATAATAAAACATTTGCCTAATCTCTAAATACAATAAAATATAAACCACCACGTGAATTCTGGAAGACTTTTAAACAGAAATTGCCAGGTAATCGGGGTGAAAAAAAAACAGTTGACTCTTTTTATGAACATTTTAAAAATCTTTCTACAAATCATGATAAACGTGAAACTAATAATGATTGCGATGACTTTGTAAAAACTTTCTTAGAATCAGAATGCAACAATGCTACATTTGAAGAACTTGATAAACCGATATCTGTGGAAGAGATTGTTCTAGCATCAAAAAGCTTAGGTAGTAATAAAGCTTGTTCTGCTGATAACATCTTATACGAGCACTTTACATCATGTATAAAATGATATTGTGAATCCTTTACAATTGCTTTTTGATTATATTCTTGATAGTAGATCTTTCCCAAAGTGTTGGTCATCCGGTATAATTATTCCTTTACATAAAAAGGGTGATTCAACAGACCCGAGTAATAATAGGGAATAACGATAACAATTTTTTTGCTATGATTTTTTTTTGGTTTTTTACGGCACTTCAAACATAAAGGGCCAAAATCGGACTCATTTTTTAAATGTAAAAAAAGAAAAAGAAATTTTCCCTTTATTTTAATTTTTCAACCTTTTTGAGGGAAGGGCAAATTATTTTAAGGGTTTTTGAGGTATGGGTAGCCATACCGTCGGAAAATTGGGAAATTTGTACATGGGAAGTTATGTAAATGGTTGCTTAATGTTTGAAAATGTCAACAAATACTTCTTTTCATTGCCTTGAGAAATAGGGCCCGATTTCCATTATGATATTTCACGTCATGTAAAATTCGTTAAATAATTTTATAAAAAATATATTCAAAATAAAACAAGCTATTGTATATTAAAATTATATGTTAATTGTCCAGAAGATTTAGAGATAGAGTGAAAGTCAAATACTGTAAATTGGTTGTCTAAAGTCAAAACACTTTTGCAAAGTTGTTGGGATTTTTAATGATGTTGTGGATGTATCCAGAATCAGTTAAGCTAAATATTTTACACCAGTCCTTACATGGCGTTAAAAGATTATTTATATTCACAAATTTGGAGGCAATTCTAGTGTACACATTTTTCTTATTTGTATTTGTATAAAACATATCAAAAAACCGATTTTAGCAAGGTCTAAATACCTGGATATTGTTGACTCTATGAAATTAAGAAATATATTAGCTAAACTTAGATTATCATCTCACAATTTATTCATAGAAACCGCTAGACATAATAATATTGATAGAAATGACCGGAAATGTACTAATTGAAACAATAATGACATCGAAGATGAATATCACTTTGTATTGATTTGTACTTTGTATGATTCTCTTAGGAAACAGTATATATCCAACTATTTTACAAGAAACCCTAGCATATTTAAATATTTAGAAATGCTGAATTCAGAAAGGAAGTCAGTGTTAACAAAATAAGCTATATATTGTAACAAAGCTTTTAAATTAAGATTTGATTCATTGAATGCCGGATAATGCTATATAAGACCACCTTGTTGTATTGTTTAAAGTTATATAAGGATTGTATATATTACATGTGTTGTATTACACTCTCACTTGTTTATTTCATTTATTGATATGCGTTTACCATTTTTCATATTCATGCATGTATATATTTGTTGTATATGAAGATGAGCTGTATATGATTGATTCATAATAAAATATATGTTCTGTTCTGTTCTGTAATCGCTATTAGAGAAGTCCCCATCATTAAATATCTTAAGATATCTGTTCACACTTAGTAAAATTATGACACTGATAAAATTATCATGTTAATCATGTTGAGCATAATTGTTTTATCATACAGTAATTGTAATATCTGTTTTAATTTGTCTTTTTCTTCATCTTTTATGAAAAATGTTTCTTTTTTTTTCGTGTTTTATATATATGTGCTATTTTAATACTGAGTTATTACGTTTATTTATT